TTGTTTGATATTTAGTTTGCAGATACCATGTATGAAAGAAAAAGCTTTTTTAAAAAAGTAATGTAAGTTGATTTAGCCTGGAACTTCCTCCCATGCTGTCTGGCATATGTTAACAAAGCAGATATTTGTATTCTTTGGGTAGGTCTTAATTATATGGGAGGCTTCACCAGTGATTCCTGTGACTTGTGGCTTATGCATATGGCCAGAGGTCGACAGAAGAAAGGGAGCTCCTTGGGCATTCATTGGAAAGCAAAGGGAGCAATGTGATGGGTGGACCCAGGCAGGCCTATTTTGCCTTAATATGCAGGTAGATTTAGGGATATTTCTGTAGCAGATAAAAGTGGTTCCAGTTTGGAGTTGGAATAAAGCTAGTTTAATTATGTTTGGAAAATGTAAGCAAATGAGCTGAGTGTAGCTGGGCTGCAGGGTCAGCCCCATCTGAAGGCTGTATCTGATAGTGATGTATAAAGGAATCTTGGGAATAAAATAATTAATATTTTGATTTGGTTTCATTTTTTGAAGAAGTGAATAGACTATCAACAAAATGTCCCTTTTGTAGTGAATTCTATGAGGTTAATGCGTGTTACTGATTCTGCTCTAAAAGAGTGAAATTACTATAGTGAGCAGAGGCACTGGGAAATCCTTGTGTGGGTCTGGTAAATATTGAAAAATCTAGCAATACTGGTTGGAAAGTCTCTTTGGCCTGAAAAGAAGTCCTACCTTTGAGTAAAAGCAAAAATCTTCACTGTTGATCTGTCAGCACAATTTTCCCTGTGCCACACAATCTTAGCTTTTACCTTCCCCCCGTTCCGCTATGTCTTGAACCAGATCTGCTAACAATAATGGTAGTGAAAAGCTGCAGCAGTATTTTAAGTACTTTTATGGTGATTTTCAGGCATTATGTAGCTGTTTGTTTTGTTATCTGCCCGGTTACATCATTCTGTAGTAATACGGGAGAAAAAATGCACTTTCCTCTTTCAGTCAAAGCACTTCATACATTTTAATACATTGAATCCTTAAATACCCTAAGACGTAGGTTAATGGTATACCTGCTTTAAAGCTAGAAACACAGAAACAGAGGAACTAACATCAGCATGTTTCAAGCATACGTAGGCTGTTAAGTTTCCCATCAAATAATTAAAGTATACAAAATCAGTGAAGATTTTTAACAGTGAAGGTCAAACTAAGTAGGTAGGGCTACAGTGCAAACCCAGGACAGTATCGAGGAAAAAAAGAGGTCCATGTGTTTATTCTGTCTTCTCTCTAAAATGATGCTAGGAAATAAATGGTTATCAGTTCTTTTATCAAGGAAAAAAAATGCAGCAGGGTATTTCGCAGAATAGTTAAAAGTAATAATTTTGACCAGTTTTGGTCTATGTTATAGGAAAGGCTATTTTTCATTTTAAAAGACTGCTGGAAAAGGTTTGGAACACAGGTTGCAAGCAGCAATGGTTTTTATTTATTTTAAAATATAATGGAAAGTAACCAAAAAAGGATGCAACTAAACAACTGTGTGTTGTGGTTAGCTTTGAACAAAGAGATATTTGAATTTACTCATTATTCTTTCGCTCATTCTAAAGCAACATATTGGCAAGACTGAACTTGAAATGGTAGTTTTAGATGGACATTTATCTGGCATATAGAGGAAATAATAAATTATAGAGGCTCTAGAGGAACTATTACATTTGTTCTGCTGTCTGTGTTTCGACTGTAAATAGACCAAAGCAAGAAGTATGCTTCAGCTCATGTACTTACCCATTTCTATTGGCCAGATAAGTAAAGCTCCTTGATCTTTTCAGCAAAATTCTTGAACGTAGAAGAGCGCACTTGCCCCTTTCCCTGTGCCCATCTTCATCACGCTCAGGAGTGATGAAGCAAACTCCCTAGCAGTTTGAGGCTTCTCTAAGTCAGTTTGCATTTCCTTGTTCTAGAAAAACTGGAAGTAACCCTGAAACATGCATCGCTTCTTGGTCTTGTAATTAATGTCTAATCATTTTTCTGAGTAAAATAATTAAATATTTTGGGAGGAAGTGAATGCCTTTCTATATCATAATGACGAGTTGAACAGGAGAACCTCACTATATCAAATGAATTCAACTCCTCGGAAAATCAATTACAAATAGTAGAAGAAAGGAAGTTTTATTCTAATATTTTTTTCTTTTATAGAGTTCAGACTTGCCAGGCACTGATTGTTTCATTCTTGGGGCCTTTAAGTTCTGTTAATCTTAAAAGGAAGTTAGGGGTATTCAGCATTTGAATAAATGAGGCCTTTTCTTCCTCCTCTGATTTTTGAGCAGCTGTGTGTATGTGGTACGTTGTTAGCCAGGGAAACACACACACACGCATGCTGGGAGGCTGACATCAGTGGTTTCCCGCGGTTGGCGTAACACAGCCCGCTAGGCTCACCGCTTCCAGTTGGAGAGCACAGCCTCCTCCACGAGGCCATCTTCTGCCATGGGAGAGCTGCCACGGCAGCGCGTCGGCCAGCAGGATCATTTCCACTTTTGGTTCACAGAAATGATACAGAATCTGATTGTATCCGCACTGGTGGTGATTAGGCTTTGCTTTCTTAAAATAAGCAGCTTAACTCCTGAATCTTAATCACACTCCATTGCCTGCTTCCTTGTTTTTATCCCTGTAGGATTTTTTCATCCTCTGAAACCAACAAAGAGATCATATTTTGCTTCAGTTTCTGAAACCTCGTCATTTTTTTCCAGACTTTCCATTTCACGCTGTTTGAATTTTATTAAGATCTCTTTACACAAAAGCAGAGTACCAGCTATATGATGCCCTGAGGGATCTGAAAGACTGTTGCTATAATGTCTCAAAAATCTCAAGACATTTTATTTCTACCAGAAGCTCTTTGGAGGATTGTGGCTAAGGATATAAAATATCTTAAATGTTTACAGCAGGGAGATCTCGACCTCCACTGGAATTTAATACAAAACTTTTTTTTTTTTTTGTCTTTTAATTGGCACACCACGTTAATGCTGATGAAAAAACAGCTGTCTACAGAGTGAATTGTATTTTCTTTACATCCTGGGATGGGGAAGACTGTTTTTGTTTCAGAAGTATAGGTGTGTATAATACTGGGAATCTGGTCTGTTCTTAAAACAATGACTATTCTTAACTATTCTTAAAACAATTCAACGTCTCTATTGATCATTACTAAGTATGTTCACCATGCATTTTACTTTCACAAGAAGCACTTCTGTTTTATTTCTTTCTGCCTTCAGTGCTTTCTGTTCTCCCCAAACACACCTATGCATATGTTTTTAGAGGGAGCTCCCTAAAACTGTGTACTTTTCCAGTGTATGGGCAAAGTTTTTATAGGAGTGAATAAGATTTTATTTTCACAGGTCTGCCTTGAAATCACAAGGAGCTGCTGAACTCTCAACAGTCTCTTATACAGCACAATAATCCTGTTCAGAAAAAAAGTTAGGAGTTAAAGAGATATTACTAATAACGCAATGCTGGGTTTTGAAATAAAATCATATATAAAGCTTTATTCTAATCTCGACAAAAATCACTCTCATAGAGTGTGTGTGTGTGTGTGTGTGTGTATTATATAGCAGAAGTATGTAATAATTTTTTTAATTAAAATAATGTATATGTGTACTAGAAAATACTTTGTAGCATTGAATTCATGGACGATCCTCCAGAATCTGGGAGACAAATCGTAAAGATTTTTAATTTTAGAAAGTTGTTAGAATGTTAGATTATTAGGGATACGTCCTTCTAAAGTGATTAGCAATTTTGTATACCTCAGATTCTCAGGGCTCATGTTCAAAGTAGTGGGATAGACAGCGCTTTCTGAAAAATGAGATATTCTTAAAAATAGTGTAAGCAACCAAAACAGTAAAGGAATATGGAAATCTTTCTATTGCTGAAAGATGTTATGCATCAGCGACTCAAAACATCAAATTTCTATTACAGCTAGCTCTGAAAATCTTTACAGGAAGTATCAGATCAAATTAAAAAATTAAATCAAATTAATTCCAACTCTAAAATTTCATGAAGATTTATTTATACATACAGAAATCAGAGACACATAATATAACAAAAACTGTCACTTCTGAAGCAATTACTGTAATTACTGAAGCAAATGCTGTTTATACATGGGTGTGTTTTTCACAGGACCCATGCAAGACAATAAGAGTAAAATTGTATTATAAGCCACTAATCTGAAAATGTCAGATTGCACTGCAGTATATACTACTGAAGTAACAGTTACTCAATAATCTAGCACTGATGTTTACTCTTACTATATTTACCAGCCCTCTGGCTCATCACATTTACCATATACGGTTCTTCTCTCTTGTTTCTCAGAATAATGGCCCAGGAATACCAAAGATCAGAAGAAAATACATTTTATTTATATAATATTTTTCATTATTTAATCTTCTTATACAACAGAAATACTGTTGCTAATGTCGAATAGACTCATGATGAATGGATTTTGAAATTATCAGGATAGCTTATATTGCCTCACCTAAATGTATTCCTAAGAAGACAGTTACAATTTAACACTCCTAATGCTGTATTTCAATATATCTTCTGTGTAGGGATCATCATAACAGCATTTTTAATTGGTCAATGTTCTTTTAAAACCTCGATTTTTCAATGTCATGATGTGCTATGTACTTCTGGCATCAAGAGAATTAAATTCAGCTTCTACTTACCAGTGCAGACACTTGAAATTATGCCGTAAATAGCTGACTGTATTACCTCAGGTTTTTATTTTATGATGGAACTTCTCCCTTACTGTTCAGAGGATGATTAAAACTGAATCTAAAGGTTATGTTCATCAAGTTCTGCACACATCTCTTGGAATATGTTTCTCTCCACTGGTAAAAATAATTTTATAATGTTCCGAATTCCAGAGTTTAACTATAAAAGTTGGCATTTTCTACTGCAAAGTATGCACTTTTTATAATAGTTGGATAAAAGTGAAAGAATATTAATTTTTTTCCTTCCATTCTGCTTATCTCTTATCTCAGGATGTGTGACACGGGAGAAGGGCTGTTCACCTTTCAGACAAGAGAAGGAGAGATGATATATCAGAAAGTCCATTCTGCAACCCTGGCAATAGCAGAGCAACATGAAAGATTAATGTTGGAGATGGAGCAGAAGGCACGGGTAAGGTCCATTCACCAAGATCTTTGGACTTAAAAAAAAATTGAGAATCAAGAACAAAAGAAGTGTGAAGTATGGCAGTCCATGAATTCAACATAATAATGCTATCAGCTGTGTGACTAAAACCGAACAAACTTTATAATTTGTATATTTTCATGGATAGGGTTTTTCAGAACGCGCTATACAATGAAGCGTTGTTAATGTATTTCAGGGGTAGCGGATACTGTTAACTACTAGATCCATGGTTACCTTTTGAGAGCTGTGGCTCCATAACTCAAAAGATTAGGCTTTTAGGTGAAGCCAGCTGTGAGCTGGCTATCGATGATTGAATGTTAATTGCTTCTTGTGGCCTCACATGTGGGGGAAAAAAAGCCTAGGTGTTGACAGACACATTCTGTTTTTTTAACATAGGAAAGGAATTACTTTCCCAACGCTGCAACGCAAAGTGAATTTGTAAAGTTTTTTCTTGCTTTCAAGTTCAGAATTTCTGCTTTCCACAAGTTATCTTTTTTGAACATGCCAAGAAACTACCAAAAGATATATTTTTTTTAGGACAAAAAGGGGGGAAAAAAGTGATTTTAAACGGCATCTCTATATGCTTTGGAATAGAGACGACTTTAAAGGACTGTTCTGAAAAGCTAACTTTCAAGTGTGGTTTGAATCCACCTTTATATCTGTCCGTGAGGAAAGGTAGGGGGAAGCCAGAGAACCAGGTCTACTTTCCTTCCTCTCAAATGACCACAATTATTCACGTATCTTTGGCACTGTTTCCAGTTACTGTTTCTTTCTTCCTTCCCTCACCCGCCATGCATGTGCCAGCAGTCACACAAACATAACCTACATGATCCTCTCCCCACACACTCCATCACTGTCAAAATACCTTGTTACACTCCTGAAGAAGAAAGGCTGCTGCAGAGGGCAATTCAAAACCCCAGTGTTCAACTCCTGCTCATAATTACTCTCCAGAGAAGCCTATTTTTCTCTATGGTAGAGGAAGCTTGAAAAGACCTATCTTTCCGTGACAAAAGTTTGTCATATTGAATGCTCCCTTCAGACTTTATAAGTCTCTGAGTAAGACCTGAGAGATGGGAGGGTATAAAATGTGGCTTTTTCTTTCATGTGAAAAGAGATGGATGAGTTTTTCAACAAAACTAGACTTAAAGTAGGAGCATGTGTAGGAAGCTGAAGATACCAAAACTTTGTACAGAAAAAGCAGGAAGAGGGGAGTTCACAATCAAGATTAAAATAAGATTAGGAACATAGGAACAATTGTTGAAAAGTCCAAACCAAGACAGACAATAGAGGAAATTTTAAAACATCTGAAGTAGTAAAAGTCTTGGTAAGAAATAACTTCATTCTGCTAAGCAGAAAGTGATTGAATAGTAGTCAGAAGACAGAGGAAAGCGTCATTATAAATATTTGTTTTTAAAATGCCTACACCATGAATAAGAATTAGAGCATTTTCATGCTGCTGTAATAAGTGCTTGTACCTGAGTCCAGGATAAGTAGGATTTTCCTTTCATGCAACTCATCTTTCGGTTCTTCCAGCTATTGATTAGCAGCTTTGCTACTTAGCAAAGCTGTTTCCATTCTGTCATTGGATGAGTTCCTTGAAACCTCGTTTATGAAGATTGTAGCCATATGGTACATAATATTACACTATGAGAACAGACTGAGATGTAAAAATGAGTCGTCAGCCACCCAGTGTACAAAGTACTTGCATTTTTGGATGAGGCTGTATTGTGGTCTGCCTGAGGGGATCGATGCAGGCTTGTGATCTGCTGTAGGCTGTGTAAAGGAAGTATGAAAATCTGTTTCTTTTATATTTGAAATGATAATCTAATGCAGATTTTATTTTTGGAAGTTCTGCTATCCCTGACTGATGAGGTACTGAACATTTAACAGGTCATCTACATCTTTGATTGCAGTATTTGAGTTGTATTCATTTTAGAAGCAAATGTAAAAACTGAAGATAGAGCAAGTAGGTGTTATTTGCCTTTTTTCAACTATAATTGCATCTGCAATATCTAAATCCTGCGGCATCACCAAGTGCCTATATATGTTTTTCCTCTAAGATCTGACATTGAAATACAAGCAAGTGAGAATATACTTTTAAATCAAGGATCTAGAAGCTGCAAATGTCTTCTAAGACTTCCTAAACTTTGACCTTTATTCCACTGTCTTTATAGCCCCATATGTGGGCTTTTTATTTTTGAGTTTCCTGTCCTTTTCTGTAATGGATAGGTCATGTTTAATATTAAGAAGTATATTCACTTTTTTCTTTTGGTTAAGGTGAAAATGAAAGAAATAATTAAAAAACAAAGTAAAGGAAGGTTAATGGTATATCCATTGCTAAACAAATCATGAAAAGTGAAGAAATGTAAGGGAGGCTCCATCTTTACTCCTTCCTTCCAATTTCAAGATGCTAAATATTAAAAAGGATTCCTGAATTTTTGTGTGTTCCTTCCTTAAAATGTTAGCACATCTTAAGTAATTAATATTCTAAAGTTTTGTTAATTTTTTCTAGATTAAAGTAGGTTGTAATCTAGTATTGTAAAAAGTGACTAGACTTTACAAAGGAAACCAAAATGCACTTTTTTACAGAAGTAACCTTGATGAAATGTATAGATTATGGTTAGTTCTCATGACTATTCAAAGTGAATGCCTTACTCTTCAAAAACAAAAACAAAAACATAACAACACCCACCCCCCAAATTTAGTCAAAAGAATAAAGGCAAAATTAATTATTGCTGCAAGAACCTTTTCAGATAAAGGTTTTGCAAGCAGCCTCAGGCCACTCCATTTATGGAGATCTCTGCACATAAGCATACTATTTCAGAGTATTAAGCAGTGCATTCATTTTTACACTAAGGAAGCTGTTGCTGAAGCCAAGTAACTGCTGCATAGCTATGTTAATAAGGGCAAGAGATAGGAAGGAAACTAATTCTTTCTATTATCTTCCAAATGGCATAGAGAGGAAGCAAAACTGTTCTGTGGCAGCAGATGCAGTACCAAATCTTCACTGTCATCACAAGAAAGACAACCCTGGCATTTTAAGTAGGTAATCACATGCACAATTTTGTCTTCTGTATCCCTTTCAAATTATAACACTGGAAGGAGGACAAGAAATATGGGATCAATAGTCCCTGGCATAGGTTGGATTTCTAGTTGGTTATTGCTTTTACTGTGATCAAAACAGGCTGGAATTTACTCAAATGCAGTGATACAAAGCGGGGAAACTATTGTAATTTAGCTCTGGTGCTCTTTTTAGATTGAGTTTGAAATGTTACGTTCACAGAGAAGAAATGTTTTATGCTCACGTTGTTTGGGACAGTAAAAAAGTTTTGGCCAGTACTAACACTGTACTTTGAAATTTTTTTAGGGAAAGTGCTATTTGTGCATTTACTTCAATTTTATTTTATTTTATTTTTTTTTTTTGCAGATCAGTGTAATGCAGACCATGTTTTCAGTTTGGGGTTGTGAGGGAGTTTTGTGCAGAGAGGTTGATATTGAAATGTTTCATTAGTGATTGTAACCACTATTTGCACTATCACTATCAACACCACAATTTTATTAAAAAGAATAATGATTTGCTTTCCATTTACAAGATTTTTTATTATGCTGTTATACTTTCTCAGAGTATTAACAGCTCTGATTTTATCATCCGAATAGTTTGTATTCCTACATATCTCTTCTCTAGCCCCCTTTTTTTGAAAAAAAAAAAAAAAAGGCATTTAAAAACCTGGTTCGATTGGCAGTCCTGGAATTAAAAGAAAAGTGGCAGCCTCAGGAAATGTTCCCACTTACTGTAGTCTGGTGTTGGACATGGCAGATCCACATCTGAGTGCCTAACAGCCATCTGTCCCATCCCTCTCCTGTCCCCAGTCTAGGCTGCAAGCTCCTAACCCCTCTCTTCAGTTAGTTCAGATGCTAATCTGACTTAGCAAGTCAATTAATTCACTTTACTAGTTTGACCAAAAAATAAAAAAAATAAAAAGGAATGGGGTAGGGCAGGGTTACTGAGGGACAACGTAACCTGCCAGATCTTCTCAGTTGTCCCATCCCAAGGTGAGAAGAATAAAAGAATAATTCGGTCTCTATAATTGCTGAATATCCTCCTTGCAATCTTCAAAAGATGTTGATTTTGTTGATCTTTTTGAAGAAGTTCAGTTTTCATCATTTCCACACATATGAACACAGTTACTCTCAACGTCACTTGTCTAACCTCCACATCAGAATGAAAATGTGCTTACAGCTATGCAGCATTGAAATCTAAGGCCTGATTTTCCTCACTTATGCCAGCTTTAATCTTCTGCCACTCAGCCTTCACTGAAAACACTCCTAATATAACTACCATACCCATTAAGTTTGGGTGTATAGAGTAGGGGGTTAAGACCTGCAGATTAGTCATATTATGACTACAGATGCGAGGGAGGGATGCCAAGGAAGTATATTTGTACCTTTGTAACCTTATAAATTACTTCTTTCAGCAAAACCTTGTTACGTAATCTCAAGAGGATTAAAAATTTACAATGTGTAAAACTAATTCTAAATAAGATATGCTAAGGTTATTGTTAACCAGCTGATGTTAATCAAACATCAGTAAGCCTGGAGTAAAAGTGCTTGAAGAAATGAAAATGGTACAAATTTTCATAACTTATTATCATGGAAAATGTTGTGTGGCGCTTGCTTTGCTATGGATAGTAAGGGTGCAAGAATAACGTCATTTAAGATTGTGATAGTTTTAATGTTTACCCAAAGATAAACACCATTATAAAAATCACATCTGTATATTTATGTATATTTATGTGGCTAGTCTCTAATATTCAGGATACTATAAGTGAATAAATCATCATGATAGATTTCTGTCATTTAAATAAGATAATATCAATGAATTTGGATATTAAAAAAAATTGTTATCAGGAGGGGAATAACGAGTGTGCCAAAGCAGACAAATGCCAGGCAATGTAACTGGATGTAAAGGGAGGTTGGTGAGGCTATTA